CCCCCCCCTCCCCCCCGCCTTGGCAGTAAGCAGTGTCAGGGAAATGACAGCAAGACAGAGAAAGACATCCACAGGCCCCAAGACGAGACTCCTCCCACACCCCGGCACATCATGCATACTCCCCATTCTGCTGGGACTGGCAATGCCAAGAGCTGCAGAAATGGGCTAATCACAAGGTTGCCGGTTCAAACCCAGCCTCAGCACGTCTGCGGGTCCTTGAGCAAGGCCCTTAACCCTCAGCTCCCTGGGCCCTGCTACGGGTGGCAGCCCTTCGTGGACAACTTACTCTGCAAAGAGCAAGTTGAGGGAGGCGTAAAGACAATTTCCCCGATTATTATTATTATTATTTATGGGAGCTTACAGGAGGCTTGTTCTCCACAGTGGAAGTGTTGTGAACGCTTCAGATAATTAGTTACTCTACACTTTCTAGATAAAGCTGGGCAGTACAGAAAATAAGGCACATACAGGTGTATGTCAGACAGGCATATATTGGGTCAGGGTAATGGGGGCACAAGCCCCAGCTGAAAGCTGATTGGCCCCTGGAGTGCTCCCCCCTCTGTCCCTCAAAGCATATCATTGGCTAATGATAAAGTTGGCCCCTATGTATGAATTGCGACCCCTCTTATGTCCCCCATGTTAAGAAGTTCTAGAATCATCCACTTTATCACTTGAGTGTGTCTGTCCCCTGAATATACTCCAGGAACCCCCTTTGCCCGGACTAGTGTGAAGAGCACGAAGAACGACAGCTCCTCCTACTTCCGGCGCAAGGAGAAGCGTCTTCGATTCTTCATCCGTCGCATGGTGAAGGCCCAGAGCTTTTACTGGATCGTGCTGTGCGTGGTGGGGCTTAACACGCTGTGTGTAGCCATGGTGCATTATGACCAGCCAGAATGGCTCAGCAACGCCCTGTGTGAGTCTGCCCATTTCTCCCTGTTATACACATTACAGGGCTGGTCAATGGGCGGGGCCCAGGTGGGGCCCCGCCTTTTAAAGGAGACTACATCCAGAAATTGATGACCTCCCTAGACTATATCCATTGGTTTATCCCAAGCAGAAAACATATGATTCCTGAGAATTTTCTCCTTTGACATTATGAGATGTCACCTTCCTGTTCACCTTTCTATTGCAAGTCTGGAATGAGAAAAATTTGTGATTCTGTTTCCGGTTTAGTTTTGCATAATAAGATTTTTTATAAATTTAAAATTTATAAATTTATGGATGGTGCTGATTATAAAACATGTTATGAACTATCAGAACAATCAAATCCAGCTTTACTTTTGATATTTGCTTTTCACCACGCAATACAAAAATGTCTAACATTTTTAGTTCTAGTTTTTAGCATCCCACTTCCATAGCATATTAATTATGACGTTCTCTCCCCACACAACTAATGAAATATTTATGAAATCAATGTGGTGTTAGATGTCTTGTTATCACCATTGATTCTCTGTCCAGGACAATGTGTGATTTACCGCGAACATGAAGGAAATGTGTGAAAGAAAATGCATTCCTCCTTGGTTTTATGATCACTGGCGTTTCACCAGAAGAGTTAATTATAGTGTGTAATGACATGCCCAACATCTATCGATACCTGACCACAAAGGGATCATGAATCATATTCTAGCATGGGTGCCCCCACCCAACCTGACTCTGTTACCTCACCCCTCCGGCAGACTTGACTGAGTTTGTGTTCTTGGGCCTGTTTTTGATGGAGATGACCCTGAAGATGTATGGACTTGGGCCTCGAAACTACTTCCATTCTTCCTTCAACTGCTTTGACTTTGGGGTGAGCTGAAATGGACGAGACATTCCCGCATCATCACATACAGTAGCAAACACCTGTATCTATGGCATCTTACATATGATCTACTATATAACCATGAATTCTCTGTTTTGTAAGTCATTTCATAAGAGTATGAAATCAGTAACTATAGTGGACATTGAAACAATCGTCCAGTTTCTTCACCCCTTCTACACCTCCACCCCATCTAGGTGATTGCGGGAAGCATCTTTGAGGTGGTTTGGTCCCTCATCAAGCCTGGTGCCTCGTTTGGCATCAGCGTCCTGAGAGCCCTCCGCTTGCTCCGGATCTTCAAGGTCACAAAGTGAGTGTGTTTGCAGACATGCGTGTTACCCGTGATGCCAGTGGCAGCAAGACTCTGCACCTTGTGTTTGCTTCCAAATTTGCTCTCCAGTATAATCTGCTAGATTTCCCTGCTCCAGTATCCAGCTCTCCAATGATCATGTGACAAGCCATATATGGAGATGTGCCATACATCAACTGGATATATGAAACTATACAATAGTTTAGGAAACTTTTGTCACATTCACAAATTTGCAGTATAATCAGCTTTTTGTGTTTCACTGACAGTTTGATGAAATCTTGGCTTGTTGTTTGTTCTTTGTAAATGACATTAGTGTTGCCAAAGCGCCAATTTACAAGGAAGTGTAAAAATCAGAGAGCAGAGCTATAATTAAGAGAACATCAACAATGGTTGCTAATGAATAATGAGAAAGAAAGTTTCTCTTGTTTTACTCTGGCTGTGACAGGATACAGTCCATGTTAGGTCACATCCTAGCCCCCTTCAGGAAAATATGCAATTTATCAAACCAGAAGTATCCTAGTGTCTCCACCTCTCCGCCTGTGCAGGTACTGGAACTCCTTGAGAAACCTGGTCGTCTCTCTGCTCAGCTCCATGAAGTCCATCATCAGCCTGCTCTTTCTCCTCTTTCTCTTCATCGTGGTCTTTGCTCTCTTGGGCATGCAGCTCTTTGGAGGCCAGTGAGTGTCCTTCTGCCCTCTTGCTCTCGACCCACTTCATATACGAGCCCCTCCTCCAATTACAAATCCTCCTTTATTTATAGGCTCTACCCCTACATTCTAACTCCTCCTTCCCCTAAAATAAAGTTCTCTGTTGCTAATGGACTAATTTAACTGAAAATGTGGCACTGGTGTAGACAATTGATATCACAGGTATTGGCTATTTTTATATTGTCTTATTTGATCCTGTAAAGGGTAGTACTACTGTGGTATATTGTATTGTCTAGTCAGCAGTATGGCTATGTACTTTTTAAAAATACTTCCTCTAAAACACCACATTTAAAATGCAATTTCAAGCTGAACACCAAAAATCCCTGCAGCCTCACAGAGGGGTACACCTTTTAATATGAGCCACGAGTGGATAGACCCAAGCTGATGTGATTTATCTGACAAATGCACTGCTTTCAGTTCAAACTGCCCTGAAGAGTCTGTCACAGAAATATTTACTTACAGGGCTAAAGTACCCTGTCTAGGAACATCCATCTGAGTTGTTGTGCATTTAAAAGCCCAGCGATGTACTGTAGTTAGATGGATTTGCTTAGGACAACTTGTTGAATCCTTCGGTTCAGTGCTGGCTAGCGGACAGGAACTCCCTGGGCATGGCCGCCAGGGCTAACTGGACAGCTCCAGTGGGCCATGGCTCACAAGGCCTGCTGATGCTGGCTCTGTAGCAGCTGGCCTGCCTTGCAGGGGAGCAGGGGCGGGCATGTTCTGCTCAATGGCTTACTGCTTCTTTGGTAAAAACCCAGCTGTTTTCCCGCATCATCAGTGCATTCCATGTATTGGGTAGAAGCTACCCCTAGAGTAAAAGGGGACATGCTTTGAGCTTGGGGGGCAGCCTTCACGTTATTTGTGAGAATGGCTGGCAAACCGCTGTAGCCCCCCCGTAGCGACATTAAGAATCCACTTTGGCCTGTTGATGATGCCCCACCGGCTCCCCACTCCAGAAGACAGATGCCGCTCTCTGCAAACAGGAAGATAGACTTTGGTTCCAGTCGGGCTGCTGAAGCTCAGAGACAGATCCGCTGCATGACATGTTTTCAGTTCTGTGCCATAGAACATATTTTATACATGCTTGGTGTGATTTCACAGACCCTCCAATTACAGCTGTGCTTTAAGATCACTGAGGAAGGCAGTCGAACTTGAACTGGCTGTGATTTGTATTGCAGACACATTTACTGTTGCATCTGTACTGCTCATTAAACAGTCAGTCCATTAATGGTAACTGATCCCGGATTCTCTTTCTGTCTCTCTCTCTCACACACACATGCGCACACTTTAGGCAATTTAGCAGGAGAGCTGTTAAGGCTGATAAGACCAGCTCATGAGGTGTAGTAACCTTAGATGATGAGTTTCGATGTAGAAATATCTGCTCCTTTTCGTGAAATCCCCACCATGGATGCAGTGCCGATAGCAAATCATTCCGTCTACTCCAGAATGGGTCATTTTTGGGTTTTCATTCTTCCCCTGTGTTGATTGGAGCCATTCAGCCCAATGTTGTTTTTTCCCTTAAGGTTTAACTTCGAACAGGAGACCCCAACAACAAACTTTGATACCTTTCCTGCTGCTATCCTCACTGTTTTCCAGGTGTGTGCATGCATGTGGTTTATTTTAATGGGAAAAAGTGCTGTTTTTGGTGGGGATGCTTTGTGCTCAAAAATATCAAGAACTTTGTTTCTCTATCGAGAATTAAACCTGTTTAGTAGCATTCTGTGTGTATAGACACACACACACACAGTACCAGTCAAAAGTTTACGCCAAGCCACCTGAAAAGAGTGATGGTGTCGCATCACATAACCTGGCTACCTGACCTAAACCCAGTAGAGATGGTTTTGGAGGAGTTTGACCAGAGAGTGAAGTGCTCTTCATATATGTGGGACCTCCTTCAGGGCAGCTGGAAAAGCATCCCAGGAGGCCACCTCATGGAACTGGTGTAGAGGAGACAGTAGGGTCAGCCAGTCCCAGGAGCAATTGGGGTTAAGGGCCACATTCAAGGGCCCAATGGTGGCATCACTCTGCCGATCACAGGATTTGAACCAGCAAACTTCTTAGTCCCAACCCACAGAGCTGCTCCACCATCCCCAAACTAATTATTTTATTTTGCATAATACCTTTTTGGTCAATGAATAATCCGTATATGTTATTTCATAGTTTTGATGTCTTTATTCTAAAATATAAAGAATACACACAAATACACACTGCATATAACAGTATTCAGTGTGGTGTGGTTATATCTGAAGCCATCCTGCTTTTTGACCCTCAGATTCTGACTGGAGAAGACTGGAATGCAGTGATGTATCACGGAATAGAGTCCCAGGGAGGAGTCAGTCGGGGGATGTTCTCATCCATCTACTTCATTGTCCTCACGCTTTTTGGAAACTGTATCCTCTCTTGCAGCATAATGTGCTGTTTGAACATAATCTAATTTGTGGGAATTATTTTTATCTTGTTGCTTCTGTTCTAATCTCATTCTCCGGCTAATTAAACTGAACCGATTGACATACCCTCACCTACTTGGACCTTTTCGCGAATGCATGATTAACTGAGTTGATTTATTGAGACATAACTATTTTCAGAGTGTAGATACATGTTAATGAAGCTTTATAGACCGTATAATTGCAGAAGCACGGGGGGGGGGGTCACTGAATGTAAAGCTCAGCTGTACTTTATCTCTCACAGCTGGAAGGAGAAAGAGAGAAATTGTTTGGTTTCCTGAGGATAGATGGCTCGTTTCCACCCATTGTTTTGGGAATAGGATCCCATGTTGTGCATTTGGTTTCCTGAGCGCTCTCTCCCAATCAGACACACTTCTCAATGTCTTCTTAGCCATCGCTGTTGACAACCTGGCCAATGCGCAGGAGCTCACAAAGGTGAGGCTTGTTCCTTCACTACTTTTACCAGCAGGCTTTCCACACTTTGGAGAAACCACTATACCTGGCACATCAGAATAAGTATGACATTTTAGTAAGTGTACATTCTGGGGACCTCCATTTAAGGTCTGCATCAGGCACAGCTAATCCCCCACATTCTGTAGATTGAACGGGACCTTGCCATTAGTCCACACATGCTCCCCCAGTAACTGTCTTCTTATTGGTTAGGATGAAGAAGAGCAGGAGGAAGCAGCCAATAAAAAGCTTGCTCTCCAGAAGGCCATGGAGGTAAAGGAGGTCAGCCCGATGTCGGCAGCAAACGTTTCAATTTCAGCGTAAGTTGACTTGTGCAGCATCCCAGTTCCCTCCAACCTGTCTCTACCCCCCACCCTTGCCGAACGCCGCCTCCTGGTTTTCTTTTCTCCTCTATTCCTTTGTCCGCACAGATGTCTTCGCATAGTTCTATGTGTGCATATCCTCTGCCAAGCCTTTGTCCAGCTGTATCTTAGTAAGTGTCCAAATGATTGTAGGTGTTCCTGTCTGCTGTCAGTCATCCTGTATGTAACTGTTCCTGTTTCCAGTACATGTCTGTGTCCCACCTGTCAATTGGTCCATTTGTTGGTTTTGCACCTTCTAAGATGTGTTATTGGTGTTATCTTTCTTCTCCCCCACCCCCAAACCCTCTACTGCTCCTCCTCCCATGTTGGATTTGAAACCGACAATTCATTGGAGAAACCGTATGTGATTTGATACGTCATGTCATGTTAGACACAGGCTGCCAGTTCAGCGCAGATCAGTTCCAGCTCCAGGGGGCGCTGTAAGGTCCTGCTGGCTAGGGATGCCACAGGACAATGTGGAGGATGTAGCTCACTGCCTTAACATCCCCATGCAGACAGGAAGGGGAGATGTTAAGACAGAAGATTTCTGGATATTGACACAAATGGAGCAAGTGAACAGGCATTCCTCCTAGTGCTCGAATTGTGTCAGAGGTCTTGGGGGGTTTTCTGGTGGGCAGTCTGACCATGAAGTGAAAAAAAAGTTGGTGACTGGGGGGAAGAGTAAAAATTGTCAGTGTCGGGGGAGGGGGACCCTCAGGGCAGATATTTAGGGAGGTCCCTGAACTCTCTTATCCCTAAGCTATGGGGACCCCCCAGATCTCCCTCAATTCAAACACTGATTTCTCCATATTTGTATGATTGGGGTCCAACTGTAGTTTTTCACAATTGCAAAATGGGACCTTGGTCCCAAATGGAAGTCCTGAAATGAAATGAAGTCCTGAGTCTGAATGTCGGTAAGTACTGTAGGCATCTTTAAGTGCAAGAGGAAAACAGCAATGCATCTGATTAATGATTGTACAGCTCCATTAGCTCTCTGTCTTTTAAGGGACATGAAATAGTGCTTTGGGTACATTTCTCACCGACAGCCGTAACCCAGTTCAATACTGTGCTATAAACAATTTTAGTATAGAAACTGTACAGTAGTTATTTATGTCAGTCTTGATTACAGCACTTGAAAGTCATACAGTGGAAACCTGCAATCAGGCGTTGGGCTTGTAGTTAACGGTGTCCTTTAATCTTTTAATTGCATTGTATTTGAAAGTGTGTCATGATGAGGAACATTTTGACCGAGATCAAGTCCCCAAATCATTTTTAAAACTGGTTTACACAGTAAAAATTTCTAAAAATGATTTGTAGCCTTTTACAAAGCACTATTTCAACTGTTGAAAAGTGAGTCTTTTAAAGCTGTTTTTAAAGAATTTGGTCATTTACAAAGATTCATTGCAAGTCAAAATAACTTCAAAAAAACCTTCAAGACTCAAAAAAGGAGAGCTAAAGCTCCACGGATCAGATCTGACTTGCTTGAGGAGGTACTGATCCCTGGTCCTGTGAGTCAGAAGGCTTTGTAAATCCCCTTATTCTTTTTGTCATTTTTAAGATTTTTAAGTTCCTGGCACATTTATATAATCAATTGGTTGGCCTGAGAAGATGTTTTCAGTTCTATGTTTTTTTGACTTCCAAGGTAAGCTTGTGGAGGTGGAGGGAGACTGAAGGATGGTCAGGCGGGAGGACAGACTGTCCTTGAAAAGTCCTCTTGACTGACCTTTGACCTTTTTTTTCTCTCATTGTTGTTTCCCCTTTCTGCATGTGCAGTTTTGTAAAGCAAAATCAAGGTGCGCTCTCTCTCAGCTCCTCCCTCTCCAGCGTTAATTCACCGTGAGTTTCTGATCTGTTATGATACTACCCCCCCCCCCCCCCCCCATATCCCTATTTCTCTTTAAATACCCTGACATCACCATTGTGACCCTCCCCCTTCCCCAGTCATGTAAGGTATATTCTATGCTTTCTTTCTGGGGGGTGAGTATGGGTATGATAAATGGTTTAAACTGTGCAGCACACACATTTCTTTGGGGAGATGATAAGGGTTCTTTCTTTGGTGGTGCACTTTCTGCAGTAGAACACAAGGGCATCGACAGATGGCAACTTGTCAGCGTTATCCTATGATCTTAGTCCCCAGTGTCCTTCTCTTGGCTGGTTCTTGATGGCTTTATGACCCCGTCCCATATCCCATCTCAGCAAGTCAGTCTAAAAACATTGCTGGCATGGTCTTTGGGACCCTGATGCTTTTAAGTTCCTCTGGTGTTATTCTAACATGACCCAGGAAACTTTTAAAAAATAATAATGTTTCACGCAGTGGTGTTTGTTGCCACCTTTTGGCGACCAGTTTTGGTGATTCATTCTGTCCCGTTGCCAAAAAGCAGAGGTTGAACAAAATCAGTCTCTTTTGTCTTTGGTTCTGTTAAATTTCAAAATAGGAACATGCTATATCCAGGGTGTTGAGATGTTTCCTTACTGATGCTGAAGATGTAACATTAAGTAGGAACTTTTTTCTACTTAACCTTGCATTAACCAATGTCAGCTTAATGCCTTAATAATCTTAAACCTTAAACTAATGCATTAACCCCTTGATAACCTTAAACCCTGGAGATAATATAGAATTAAATTTAGGAAAAACATTTATAATAGTTGCTCTGATTTTCTCCACCAAAGACTCTTCAAAAGGATTAACCAGTTGTGTTCCCCTGCTGCTGCAGTCTTAGGTCAGTTATCTGTCATGTTGGTTGTAGAGCAAATTCTAGGAGTGCTCTTGTGTCTTGATTCTTACTCCTAATCAAAGATCTGTGAAAAGCAGTTAGTCATTTTGTACTTCATTTTGTGCCCACCCCCCCACCAACCAGAACACATTTGAAGCAGAATCCACATGCATTGGTGTTCTGGCAGTTGGCGTCTACATCACGTTAAGTAGACAATGTCCGAGGCCAATAGAAGGTCATTCCATTCTGAAAACACACACGTTTTTCTAGCAAGTGACTAAAATTTATCCTATAAAAGACTTTATATCCATTTAACACATTGCGTGTGCTTGGTACTGTTAATCATGTTGTAGATGTCATCATATATGTCATCATGCAGTTTTCACAACAGAGAAAATGTTTTTATTGCAAGGGACATAAAATATACAACATAATTATCACTTGGAATTGACTATATGTAATTTGATCTCTTTAAATGTGTTATTTGTTTAAAATCAAAAGCAATAAAACAAAAAAAAAAAACTTGTTTGAGATATTAGGATGAGCCCTTGGTTTGACGGACACTGGCTTCTCTAATGAGTACAAGTACAGTCACTTAGACTGTGGTTTTAGCTACGTTGTAGCTCTTATCTTTGGTTGTGAAGTGGGAACAGTGAAAATTTAACGTTATGCAACACCAACATCTGGGCTCGTTTTCTGACATTTTCCCTTCCTGTGTCTTGTGTTTCTATGTCCTCATGTCCTCACCAGCATTTTGAAGTGCATATGTTGTGTTTTCCCTTTATGTAGTTGTGCCTGTGTTTCCTATCAATCCTCTGACCCCACCCCCCACCCCCCCACACAACTGCTGTTAACCTCTGTCTGTGATGTAACTGCATTTATTTGATGCTCTGTGTGTGTATGTTTTTAGGCGTTTTTTCCTCTCTCCTGCCCATCGAGTATTGAGGTACCAGAAACACGCAGCTTGTGATCATGACAAGCGCATGAATGAAATCTCACAAACACGCGAACACCCGCAAACACACCAGTGTGTATCTCCATCCATCAAGCTTTCCGAGAGCCGGTGGGTCTCCCACTCATATTCCAACCCAACAAAGCGGCCATCAATGGATCCTCCTCCATTCCTACTCCATCCACGGCTATAAGATTCATAGGGTCCTCACAGACACAGGTGTTTAGAACATGCACTTGAACTCATTGAACTAAGTGTTCCCTGCCTTGGGCTTCCAGGGATGGGCTGCTGACCCCCTGTCACAACCTGGTATTGGATAAGGGCTTAATGGATGGATGCATCCCAGCGATGGGCTAGTGCCCCATCCTGGGTCTTTCCTTGCCTTGTGCCAGTAGCTTCCAGGATAGGCTCCGGATACCTGTGACTGCATAGGATGGTGCTTTTCAAACCAGTCCTTAGGGACCCCCAGACAGTCCATGTTTTTGCTCCCTCCCAACTCCCAGGGAATTAGGAAAGGGCAAAAATATGGACCATCTGGCGGTCGCAGAGGACTGGTTTGAGAGACATTGGTATAGAACCCTTTTATTCAAATCACTGTCCTTCGAGGTCCGAGCACGGCTGGTTTTCCAGCCTTCCTTTACCTGGCAGTCAGGTGTGAAGCCTCTGACCAATCAGAATCAGTAATTATTAAACTAACTACCTGGGAGAACTGAAACCAAGGCCTGTATTTGCAATCGAGGTCCAGATTTGAAGAACCCTGGTATAGAAGATGGATGGATGGATGTGACGTTCTCAAGCTCTTAATCCCAGTACACTCCCATAGAGTTTTAGGCTTTATTCCCAAATACCTAGCATCGTTTTAGAGAGCACGAGCTAAAGGGAGATTCTGCAGCACCATGGTCTTTGAGTTCTAGGCAGCCTGATCAAGACTCCCAGGCTAGAGAGACCCAAGCCCCTGGCCTCCCCAGTGGCCTCACTTCCATTGCAGTTGCCTCCCCAACTGTGACCCTACGGCACTGAAAGCCGGGCCAGGCTGAGCCACCCGTCCAGAATATGGGTCCAAATATGCTTCTGGGGGGGGGGCATGGGACGGCACACCACACTCTGCTCATCTCCATTACTGCACGCTAAGGATGGGGCATGTGGAGGGTGCACCCACTTCTCCCATCAGAGCTGATAGACCCCCAATCTTCCTCGGGGGCCCATCAGGATGGAATGCAGTCTGACTTTTGAACGCGTTTCAGCGGTCCGTATTGGATAGGGCCTAGCAGAAACTGCCTGCATGTTCGTAAGACCTCAGACCCCTGTGTTCACATCAGAACACAAATGTCAGCCATAATCCCCCTATCCCCCCCCCACACATTTCTTTCAGACCCTGAGCAGTCCAGCATGTCCTTAGTTCCCCGAATTCACTATACTCTGACACCCCCCCCCCCAAACCGATTGCAATCTGTAATTAAAACCCCGCCTGTCTAGCAGAGGGGAGATAATTTAATCATCCCAGTCCCTCGGGAAGGGTCACGCACTGGTCCATGACGGCTGGAGCGTTGCCATGGTGACCTTTCACACGGGCACATCCATATAGCGACCATCTTTTTCTGTCGTCGGGAACGTGGTGTCTGAGGCAGAGGGTGTCCTGGGAGCTTGCTGGCCATCCTCTACTGTTTGAGGTACCAGAGACTGTCCCCCGTGCGATAGCAGCGAAGGCCTGGTGACATGAAGCCCGGTGAAACAAAGCCACTCGTTTTCTCATGTTAACAGGGGACATTGTCCTTTATCTGCATGCCTGCAGCTTTTGGTGCCTCGGGAGCATTAAGACAAAAGAATGGCTTGATAGCACTTCTTCTCTGTCACTATGTGGGCTGACAGGATGGGCAGCAAAAGGTGGTCATGCATATGGATGCAAATGCAGGTTTTTTGTTTTCCATTCTCTGAAGTGAGCAGGGAAATGACACAGTAAAGATGTCCGTTGACAAGATGAAAGTTGCCATAGACAGGGTACTAGTCACCCATTATAGGGCTGACCTTCTCCCTGCTTCCATACCGCCATACAGCAAAGAGCAGCCGAAATCCATGCGGATGATGTCAGTGTGGGAGCAGCGAACGACACAGCTTCGCAGGCACAACCTGCGCGCCAGCAATGAGGCCCTGTACAGCGAGTTGGATCCTGAGGACCGCCGCCGTTTGTCCTCCACCCTGCACATCAGGCCTGATATGAAGACTCACCTGGAGCGCCCCCTGGTGGTAGAGCCACACAACGGCGAAACCTGTGACAGCAGCGGAGGCAGCAGTGGCAGCAACGGGGATGTGCCAAAGGAGGACGATTGGGTGGGGGGAAGTGAGAAGGGGACTCCCAGGGAGCCTCTGTCCTCCCACCACCCTCGCAAGCACCATCGGCGGCGGGAGCATCCTCCCGGGGAAGTCGATGGTGCTGGAGAGGCGGGTGTGGGGAAGGATGGCCGGCGTCATGCCCACCACGGCCGTGGGGGGGAGAGCAAGACGGAACAGGGCCATGGTGGCCAACGGCGGCACCACCACCACGGCGCACCAGACAAAGGGGGCGGAGCCAATGAGAAGGAGCACCGCCGGCACCACGGCCACCGTCAACCCAAGGAGGGTAATGGTATACTCAGTGGGGGAGGCAAGGCGGAGCATCGGGGGCGGCACAGGGAGGCTGAGAGGACATCGGCAGAGCCCCAAGGGGAGGCCGAAGGGAATGGAGAAAGAAGGAGACATCGGGTCCGCCACATCAAAGCCCAGTCTACCATCGATGGGGAGGAGAGCAAAGACAACGGGCAGAGGGATGGCACCAAGGCCCGCCGGCACAGGTAATCCTCACCAGACCAAACCGGAGTTGGGGTTCAGGGCAGCAAAGTGTCGTTGGCATGTTTCCGTTCAAAGAGAGGGACCAACTGACCAGGGTATCTCGTCCGATATGCCAGGTGCCCGTGATGTTGCTGATGATATGCAGGGTAAAAAGAGAGTGGAGCTGTGTGGTCATTTATATATCTTGAGGGTGGGGAACATACACCAGGGTCTTGCAGAAAAACCTCCATGAATGGCATTTTCAAATACTATCTCCTATAGCTCACCAAGTAGAGCATTGCACTAACAATTATATTCCCTGGGAGCACACACAGAAATTTAAATCTACTATAAGTTCTTTTGGATGCAAGCATCAGATAAATGTGTGCTTTGAGCTGATCCCCAGTATCATGTCTGTCTCAGAAAACTACTCTGGCTACTCTGACCACAGGCTAGTGATATCTAGTCACAGGCAAAAAAAAGTTACAAAATAGTTCAGTACCATTTTATCCCAAATTTCCCTCTGGAGAATGAAAATTCAGTCCGCAAAGTGTGTGGTGCAGAACTTGCCGCTGTTTCTCCTGCAGGGAAAGACATGTGGACATTGTGGTGAGTGTACCCCCCCTAAGCCTTCACCCAGCTGCTGGAGAGAAGCAGGAAGATGTCGACAATCAAAAGAACATCCTGCGTTCCAGCCAGACTGCTGTCCACATCCCAGTCACCATCACTGGCCCCCCTGTGGAGACTACCATCATACCTAGTCAGTACCAGCAAGAGATCAATGTCCATGGTGGTCCTTGGGAAGAAGTTCCTTTATAGACAAAGTACCTGAGATATTTTATACAAGATCCTATAAAAGTGTTCAGCATTATTCCACTCAAGCAAGCTTAGATAATCATACATTCAGGGTATTTTAGCATAGTGTTTCTTAACCCAGTCCATGTTTTTGGTCCCTCCCAGCTCTCAGCCAATCAAGAACATTAAATACCTGGCAATGGTGAGCTGGGAGGGAGTAAAAATGTGGATTGTCTGGGGGTCCCTTAGGACTGGGCTGCAAAACACAGATTTAGCAAATACCCTAACCACCCTTCCTTAGATTAGTGGGAAGGGCCTGAAACCACACAAGCATCCATCAAGCCTTACATATACTAAGTCACTGCTCATCTGCTTCTTTAGTGAGCCACTCAGATCCTGTTTCTTGTTTTAGATCATCTCAATTAATGAATGGTAATGAGCTCTGAAATGTTTAGCGTAAAAGGCTAGATCCCCCAGCTCAGTATCTCTCCCATCCTTCCCACCTACCTTCGTCTCTTGTCAGTGAACAACATTGACTGTGAATCCCTCCCACCAAATGAAGAGAAGAAGATCCTGGAGGACCAGACAGTGAACAGTCCCCAGCAGATCCCATCCTACAGATCCATGTTTATGTTTGGTCAGAACAACCCGTGAGTGTTCCTTCCCAAGGTTCTCAGTGTCGCACTCAGGATCCTAAATCTTCCCCCTACTTTCAGGAAAGGGTTGATCTTTCATTGGTACCTCTACCCCTGTGTGTCGTTCTGCAGGGTTCGCCGCTTGTGCCACTACGTGGTGACGCTGCGCTACTTTGAGATGTGCATCCTGATGGTCATCACGATGAGCAGCATCGCACTCGCCGCTGAGGACCCTGTGCAGGCCGCTTCTCCACGCAACAATGTGAGTCTGGTGCTACCAGGAAGTTTCCACTGTATGTCAAGGTCATTCGTTAGCAGGGAAGTTTGTGGATCGTCTGTGGAGGCAGTAGGGGTAGATATCACAGGTCATGTTTGGGCTGGGGGTTTTGGAGTGATTTACAGTTAATTTCATCTAACGCACAGGGGCTTCGAGTGTTTCTGAGACACTGCTGATTTGTTCCTGATGTATTTGCTGTATATATAATGTCAGGGGCAGGTTTGCCTATGTGAATGTGTGGCTTGAGTGATCATGAACACCTGCATACTTTACACATTCATTAGCTTCAGTTGTTCTTAAAGTTAAATATTTTTTCACTCAGGTGCTCAAGTACCTAGACTACATCTTCACAGGCGTCTTCACTTTTGAGATGGTGATTAAGGTAAACTCTTGACACTGATTGTTCCCAGTGACCACAAAATCGTCCATTTCTTGGGTTGTTCGTTCTTACAGTACGTTATAATAAAGTTTGACTGCTGCCGGCTTTCATTTGTATAATTTATACTTTCCTGCTCATATCCGTGGATACTGCTGGATGTTTATTATGGCAGTGAGGACAGCCGTGGAACCTCTCCAGGGATTTTAGGATGCAGTGTGGAAGTTGAATGGTTTAATCACCATGCCGCTTTACAGTCAGGCGCGATCTGCTTGTCTTAATTAAAACTGCTAGAATTTGCTTCAGGTTAAGCGGAACGTGGTTCAATTGCCCGTCTATAACGAGGATGGTTAAGTGGCTGGTTACGAGCTCAGCGGGAGCTGAAAGCCCATGCCCCCCCGCCCCCATCCCACTTCAGCAGTTAAGTATTTCAAGATCTGCAGAATGTGTAGCCCTGTGCAAAACCAGCTTTCTGTATGTGGCAGAAATGAATGATTTCAGTTGACTTTCTGATGTACACATCCTACATTTCTGAGCTGGGGAATAAAGACCACTGTCCCGGAAATCGATTCAGACCAGCAGGGTGCCAGATCCCCTGCCTGCAACCTGTGACGGATTATGTGAATCATCTTGAGCCAAGGAGAGCTAAATAAACAAACAAATATTAAAAAAATAGGTGTATGTGCTGACAACAAGCTTGGAAACAAGTAGAAAGCTTTCTAGCAGAGGTATCCACAGGCCTGCTAGTCTTCAGCACAGCGTGGCTGGGTCAGAGCTGAAGGTCAGCCACAAGGGCAGGATTGTGGTGTGTGACAGCAGTTAATGACTAATTAGACTCAAATCACAAAATGCCACCATGACCCCTTTAAACGGAAAGCGTTCTAAGGATTGTGAAGCCTGGTATAATTGCTCTGTATGTTTTGTTTTTAATCATGGCTTTCCTTCATTGGATTGTAGCTAGTGGTGAAAGCCTGGTTTCTGCCCTCTGTCTGTCTTGTTATGTCGTTGTAAGGTCATAATGATGCTAAACTCATAAACATAAATCCTTCACACCTCTCCCTCAGCAGTTTCCCACATCTGCCCAGCTGACCTTATTTATTGTGAATAAGTAAATCAGTCCAACTAGGGCTGGCAGAGGTCTGTGATAAATCATCATGGGAAGATGGAAGATCAGTAGAATGCAACTTAGTACTATAAGGATGTATATCACACTCATTTTCATTCTATATTCTTCAAGATGATTGATCTGGGCCTCTTGCTTCACCCTGGCTCTTACTTCCGGGACCTGTGGAACATTCTGGACTTCATTGTGGTCAGCGGTGCCCTGGTGGCCTTCGCGTGCACGTAAGTAAGCAGGATACAGAGAATTCAGTGTCCCTTACAGTCAGCGACCATTAGGCGTGTCATACCAAAACAAACATTCAAGATTCAGGCAATTTGTTGTCATATGCGTAGTGCCTACACAATGAAATTCTTAGTTTGTTTATTCCTTCAATTGCTGCAAACAAAAACAAAACAAAAACAATAGCACCACAGAAAAGGAGCGTGTTAGTCCTGCTTCGAGCGTGGCTTTAGCATGTGGCTCTGTGGGAAAGCCTTTGTGCTGTGATTAGAAGGTCACCGGTTCCAGTCTGGCCTCACTACATCGGCGGGTCTTTGATTGGGTCTTGCTAAGGGTGGCTACCCTTCATGGCCGGCTTGCTCTCACTTAGAGAGAGCAAGGGGGGGGAGGCAAAGAGAATTTACCCATAGGGATCAATAAAGTATCAATTATTATTATTATTATTATTATTATTATTATTGAACATATGAATGTGTAGTGGAGCAAAAGTCATGTTTATACCTGGTCATGCCACAAAATTGATGCCAGGCCATCGGAACGTGCAACAACAGCATTTATGTGGTGAGCTGTTGTGATGTGGATTTCTATGGGGTAAAGTAGTCAGTTGTCTCTTGACAGACCCCTAATAATCTGTTTCACTTCTATGAATATTGCATCCGTCACCATGTAAATAACATAAGTCAATGTACACTGTTGCTGCATATTCTTTTTTAATGTAACAGTACAACCTTTGTTGTCCTTGGCTGAAATGATAGTCTAGAATAATTATGATTATTACGTAGATAAAAACTAATTATAGTTCCAAGTGTTTGTCAGTCTCTCACAGGTCATGCGGGAATACCAGTTTACAGTTTCGGTTGGAATTTTAATTTTGTAAAATATTTTCTTCTACTGCTGTTCATTTGTGATCCCTGAAGCGTTGAGAAAAGGTGACACGTAACCCCCACCCTTATGTCACATGACCTTGCAGTGTTCTTTCCTTAGAAGTTGTAATCTTCAAATTGTTCTGGCAGGTTATTTGGAGACCCTTCTTTGCTGTTGATATTATTCATGTAGCCACAATGATAAGTACATTTCATTATTGCTGCACAAGCAAACCAACAAGCCAACATAAATGTTTTTTTTCCAGTGTTCTGTGTTGCAAGTAATGTATGCTTTTTGCTGCCAGGATGGGTTACCGTGACGTTTGACAATTCTCTTCAGTTATTTTTTTCTCGTTGCAGTGAGGTCCTCAAAAAGACCACAGTGCACTGTTGCCCAAGTGGGCCATGATGTTGATGATCACTTGCTTGCCTCTCTCTCTCTCTCTCTCTCTGTCAGTAGTACTGTTTTGTTGCTGTCTTGTATCATGCTGATTCTTACTCTCCCTTTATTTCCTCGTGGCTCTGGATGACTTTCAGGAGTTTCATGGGGTAATGCTTCACACTGTCTATCTTATTGCTTGTCTCCCACCGTCACTCGCTCCTTGTCATTCTCTCTGCACGTCCGTATGTGTGTGTGTGTGTGCGTGTGGCAGAGGGCGTGCTTAGGGTTGGGCTAAAGCACTGCAATGTCTACACTCATGCCTCCTTACTTCATTTTCAGCTGTCGTAGTTGATCTCATATCTCATCTGTTTACATCCACCTTCGTTCATCTACGTTGAAGCGTCCGCTGCCTCTTCAGCCAAAGTCTTCATCATCAGAGTCTGTTATATAATCATGATAGGGTCCCTTGCTTTGCAGCTTCCTAATAAGCTCCACACATTTAAACTAGACAGAAGCCAAGACTGGAATACTGGGACTTCACAGATGGATCTCCATATGTCCATACATCTGGACTCAAGTTTGTAGACATCATAGCACAAAATGAGACTTTGAATCTGTTAGAGCTTTGGCTTAACTGGGAGTTTTGAGCTTGTGAAGATGGCCTCCAGTCACAGTAATGCAGTGATGAGTGCAGTGAGTTTTAGACTCAGAAGACCCCCCATTCCATCCTGAATCTGAAGCAGACACCCTCATTGAGGGGGTGCTTTCCATCCTGACCAGGCTTCTCTTATCAGTATGACCCTCTTCATGAGTCAGTGTCATTGTGACCATTCTGTCGCTTTGTTACATGTTTTTATTATTCCTCAGGAGCTGTGCATTCATTAAATTATTCTCTCTCCATTGCTTTTTATGTGTTATATTCTCATGATTTGCTTATGCATAGTTTTGTGTTTGTTTGCGAACCTGTCATAATTGCTTCTTTATATGTTTTTGTTCTTAATCATTGCTTTCCTTCATTAGATCTCAACAAAATGTGACCAGGTGGGGACCTCCCCTTTCTTACCCCACTCTTCCAAAAATGCCCCCCTTACTTCATTCCTTGTTAGATTATGATAATGGTCCCGTGTCCACCTCAGTGAACTGCCTTCTGTCCTGAGCTGTAGCTGGACAGGCGTCACCCTGATAGCTTTCACAGGGCACCCTGCTGTTTGCGGACCAGGTCTTCCTTCCATGGATAATGGCTTAGCATTAGCATAGGTTTCAATGGCAGCATAGAATTCTTGGACTGTCAGAACCAATGGCAAGATGTAAAGGTGTATTCATCTATATTTCTATATGAAAATGCAATGTACATTTAGAAAACTTTCATCCCAGAGAAACACTACTTCAATTTCAATTTCTACTATTCAATTTCTAATTTCTGCGAAGAGCAAAAGGACTTTCATGATCAATATGTAGACAAAATTGACAAATTCATTCAGGTTACCAAAATTTCCATTTAAATATTTACCTGTCATCTAGTGATCTTTAAACAGAAGAACTTGTGGACTTGAAGTTGGATAAAACCTATTAAGGGCTATTTCAGAATGGGAAAATCCAGATTAAATTGAATAACACAACATTTAAGAGCGAATAAAATAGGTCTTTCCACTACAGGGTTCCCCTAGGACAAAGTGTGTTCCCCTTCCCCTTACACATAAGTTTATGAATTTCAGGTTCTAAGTCACACCTTTAAACCACCAGACTTGCATTCACAGTGTTGGCTCATCTGCTTTCTTGTGTAATTAGAAAGGAAATAGTTGCTCCTTGGGGCAACATTGAGCTTCACCAATCCCACTGTAGACCTATAAAGACCTAGGTCTTGATCTCCTTCAGCCACAGCTAATATAACACCCTTCTCCCGAGCTCCATTGACCACTTCTGTCGAAAGCTATCAGAGAGCTAGATGTTTATTTCTCCCGTTTATGTCTGATCTTCCCTTCCCCTTTGTCTGATCTTTAACTCCCAAGTCTCTGCAGAAGCATGCTAAGATTAATATAGTGCATCAATGGCCTGTCTGTTGCATGTTGTTGTGGTTGTGTGGGAACATCAGAACTACAAACGTGGGCTTTGGGGTGGAAAGCTTACTTTTATTTGTAAGCAGGAGCATGGGTTTGTATGTCTTTCTGTGCGGGGCTGTCACGATTATATTAATAATTGAGTAAACTAACTATTAATTTGACAATCTGGCAATTGTTCGCATATGACTATAATAGCAAGGCATTTCAGACGGCGAACTGTAAGGTATACACACACGGTGGGAAATTTATTCAAAACTAAGGACACGCGAGGATCGGACAGGGTGCACATAAGCCACGGGTAAACATACACGCCACAATTGCGAAATGACTATTACCAACAGCAGTACAACAATGGGCAATTTACAATTACTCGCGGGCATGCTGGGACATGCAAACCCCGCCGGCGCTACAATATCAGTATAATGAAGATGAAAAGAACGAAAAAAGAAAAAAAACAACTACCCAGCCACTCTCATAATAACTCCTGTTTCAGACAGCAGCGTTCAGACTGTAGGACCACTTCTTCTTAAACACCATATTTATTTATGATACGCACTAAAAGCAACTCTCAAAGAACGGCGGCCAGCTTCAGTCAACCGCCACATATCAAAGTTATAAAAACAATACAAAATACAATTAATCATTCTGTCTTTACAAATCAAATTTAATAAAAATGAAAAAAAGAACTACACACCGGTTACACATTGCCCGGTAATCATACTGTAGCACCGGGTCTTCAGTTGAATTTCTAATCTTTCTTAATACAACTTTATTCTGAAACTTGTAATCAACAAAATCATTGAAAATCATTTTTCCTACCTTTAAATCACCGGCTAGCAGCGTGATATCCAACACAACACCGTTCCTCTCTTCAGAACCCGCGCACAGTGTTACCAGGGCCAGCAAAAATCTCCAGCCCAAGGTCTGTTTAAAATCCACCCAACGGAAGCTGAAACTAGCCCAATATTTATAATCCCAGTATACTGCATCTCAAAGAAGTAAACCAGTATTTTGCTGCTGATCACATTCAAATGTTCAGCATTTTAAAACCACAATGACGTCATATAGACGGGACGCACTCTCTTCCCAAGGTTGCCAACTTTCAGCTGGCTGGAATGAGATTTTCAATTGTGTACTAGTCTGCACAAGCATGAACAGTTTTAATACCTTATACATAGTCTGCAGGGTTTTCAAACTACCCCAACGCTTCTGATGTAGCTAATTTAAGTTCCATAATGGGATATTATAGATTTGCCGTAAGATTGCTTGCGTGAATGTCACGCCAGATGCGTGAGAGCTGACAACCTGTTTTCCCCGTGCGTTTATTGTCTCTGACTTTCGGTACCCAGCGATTCAGTACAGTATTACTCAGCAGTAGGAGCCACTTGCTTTCATAATAATTAATTTCTTTTTCCCCATACAGTCTGCTGCCCTGGAATATTATGAAAGCAGCCCAAAAACCCGCAACCCGCGACTTATCAATATTTACCCATAACCATATTTTCAAAAGAGCCCAATTGGGCGGGAAAACCGCAGACCTGGCTACTCTCCCGGTGTTCTGTCATAACATCCTACCTATCCAGATGTGCTATCTTGTCTTTCTGTGCATGTGCAGTTCCACCGTCTTGGGATTAGGGTTAGGTTTAAGGGGTTAGGGTTGAGGTAAGGGTTTTAGGGGTTTTTGGGGGGTTAGGGTTAGGGCTATCGATTAGCACTATAGTAGGATGTTTTGATAAAGTAGGACGTTTTGTCAGAACACCGGCGCTGCCCGTTTAAACAGGAGTACAGTGGTACCTTAGTACTTAAACTCAACTCGAATTTCTTAAGTCGAACCAACCAGTTCTGAAAAAAAAAAGACCTAGAACTCGATCTGAATCTCAGAAGTCGAACTGTGAACGCTGACCTAAGAGAACTTGTACACGTGGGGAAATTAGTTACGCAGCATATGCTTCTCAGCGGAAATAAAGGGTAAAGCTTCACTCTCAGCCTCGCATTCGCATCGTGCATGTTTACATTAGCTGAATCATATACTTAGACAGTAAAAATACATTTGGTAGACAGTAACAGTAATTATTATATAATTAAATACATTAAAAAAAGAGATTTCTTATTAATTTTAATATCATTAATAATAAACCATTAACACATTTAATTATAATAATATTGTCCTGCTGAGCTGGGACGTAACAAAGACAAAGGCCCAGACGTCAGGGTATCGGGGAATACGGGGTTTAATTACAGGAAAGGCAGGCAAAACGCAGACGGACAATACAATGACCGGACTGGGGAAACAAACTGAAACACGGACTAAATACAGAGGACTAATGACAACAACCAGAAACAGCTGCAGGAGGTTAACTAGGGGGCGTGGCACACGGAAGGAGCGGACGATCATGGCAGGACACATTGTTTTTTTTTAACTTTACACATTGCTTGGATACATTTATTTTTTTACTTTACAAATTACTGTTTTGATAAATGTGCTTAGATGTGTTTAGTACAGTATATGCTCTTCTTGTTTTATCCTGTTCATTTTGTGTTTAAATGCTAAAAAAAAAAAACATTTATATGTAATTTTTTGGGGCCAGGAACGAATTGGTTTTCCATTATTTCTTATGGGGAAAATTCGATCAGAACTCGAACTTTTTAGGATTCGAACCCGAGTTCCGAATGGATTAAGTTCGCGTTCTGAGGTACCACTGTAAAGGCATATATACTTATATGGGCGATCTATGTTTGATGATTGTCAAAACCACAAACTTAATTTGACCAAACTATTTGTATATAAGGGCGGCATGGTGGTGCAGTGGTTAGCATCTCGTACCTCTGGGACCTGGGTTCGAGTCTCCGCCTGGGTCACACGTGTGTGGAGTTTGCATGTTCTCCCCGTGTCGTCGTGGGGTTTCCTCCGGGTACTCCGGTTTCCCCCCACAGTCCAAAGACATGCTGAGGCTGATTGGCGTTGCTAAATTGCCCTTAGGTGTGCATGTGTGGGTGCTTGGTGTGCAAGTGTGCCCTGCGATGGGCTGGCCCCCTGTCCAGGGTTGTTCCCTGCCTTGTGCCCGTTGCTTCCGGGATAGGCTCCGGACCATTCACCAACATTTAATACCGTAACAATAAAATATATTATTATACAGTACTGTAGTCTTTATCGAATGAAAGGAATTCTGATGTTTTAGCCTTATTCTCAGCAGTCGATAGGGCAATGAGAAATATGTATCAAGGGATAACGGTGCAATAATATATCATGCTTTTATAAATGTTTATAATATAGACTTATGGAACGCGGCAAAAATACTATTAGTGAGAACACTGGGCTGGTTGAGAGTTCTGCTGGGTATGGGGACAAAGGGAGATGAGACATGTACTGCACTCCTGGCCTGGCGAAGTCACCGTGTTACAGCCTGTATTCGCTCGGCACATGACCTGAAACGTACGAACCGGATATTTATGGAATTTGACAATTTTTTTCAGACTGCGGTAAACCGTGGACAGTACGTGGGTCCCACTGTACTATTTAACCATACAATACGTGCAATACGAATATAAAATACAAATAACTGTCAGGATCAGGTGAAGGAACCTGAATGGACCGGCGACACTGCAACACGTTTCGTATGTGGTCCAGATATACCTTACCTTGTGCGGACCAAATGTCCCCACAACGTGATGAATACCCGTTTTTCCCATATATGGGAAAACTATATTTTATTTAAAAAAAAAAAACCTGTTACTGCAATGAAAAAACTAAAAATGCAAAAACTCTTGTTTGGTTGCTTATGGTTATGGTTAGGACTTGGGTAGGGGTTAAGGTTGTCATAGTTAGCATTACATACATACATTACACATACGTACACGACTCTGTGTGTGTGTGTGTGTGGATTGTTTGTATTACGTTCTGGAGACCAAATGTTCCCCATAATGTAGAAAAAAAACAGTTATTTCAATGTGCGGACCATTTTTCAGGTCCCCGCAAAGATCAGTGGATGCACTCAAAAAACTAAAAATGCCAAAAGTCTTGTATTTTGTTTGATTACTTATGGTTATGGTTAGGGCTGGGTAGGGGTTAAGGCTGTCATGTTGTGATTAGAGTTTCCCTTATAGAAATGAATGGCAAGTCCCCACAAAGATATACATTACCTGTGTGTGTGTGTGTGTGTGTGTGTGTGTGTGTGAGAGAGAGAGAGAGAGAGTTAAAAGTACACAGCATTTGCATCCTTACTGACCATCCTGGCTGAGTTCCAAGCCCAATGCACTACCTCTGATATAGATTCCCTTCTCCCCTCATCCCCTCAGGTACAGTTTCAGGTGAGGAACCCAGCTGTAATAACGTGGTGGCCGCTCCTGGTCTGCTACTTGGCCAGACAGCACTGTTAGTCTGAGCTGGCACCGTGAGCTGTGCATTACAGGCCTGTGTGCCTCCTGTGGATTCCTCTGAATCCTATCTCTGCTCTCCACCCCGATTTCTGCTGCTCGCTTGAAATTGGAAGCCTCTGTCCTGTCCATGTTAATGCTCTCTACTCGGGAAGAAAGTTGTGTTCGCCTGATATTTAAAAAGCAGAACCAAGCTTTTAGAGGTCCGAGAGAGAGAGAGATGTTTCTTTTTTGTTTTCGCTAATCCTGTTTTTAATGGAAGAGCATGTAGTCCCTAAATGGTATATTCAGGATTCTATTTGTGAGTTCCTAAGGGATTGCTTCCTCTGAATGACTATATCTACTCACCTGTAAATCTTAATTAAGCACAAACAGGGTGTGTACCTGTCTGTTGATGGGAAATCACAATGTTTTCAGTGAAATTCTGTGACTTCGCAGTATAGCTGTAGTTGAAAGGAGGTTTGCAACGGAGACTTAAAATGGTTTATTACTGCTTCTCCATTGCATTTGAGTCCATAGTCATTTCATTTCCACTTTTTCATTAGGCATCTTTAACTGGTGCCATTGCAGAAATTTAATTTCCTGTTCGGTGTTTGCACAGTAGACCAGCTGTGTGACACTTAATGACGCTCTGCGGGGTGTTTTTTTACACCACAAAGAAACCGATTGCCTTTCTCTTGACAGATTTGGTGCATCTTTTTATATTTCCATAGGCAGTAGCAGTACAGCTTTTACATTGATATCAAACACTGGTTTTGTTATCAGCGAAGCATTTTTCACAAGTATCAACCTAGCCTTGCCATTGGTATCAGTTCCAGTCAAGCTTCTGCACCAGTGCAATGTTTGCAGTTTTTTTCCCCTTTGTCCTAAAGCTTTACATTTTAAATGAATCAGAGGCTATAAAGCTTCTTTTGATGTAACATTTTACATCAAAAACTTAATTAAAATAAATTTTGGAGCAGGGCCTGATATATATGGGTTTCTAAGTTCTGTGTAAACCCTTTGTATAGAGCAGACATGTCCTGTTTTTTGACATAAATAGATATTATGTTCATTGTTTAACTTGTACGGGGGGTGTTTGTGACAGGCATTACTGTAGAATAACAAGTTTACCCACAATGCATCTTCTGCAAGACGTCCAGCTGGACCATGTAATTTTCTATTACATGACCTTTATAAAATAGCATGCAAGCGGGAATGAGGAATGGCTGTGGGTGTATATTTTTGTCTCTGGAAAGTTCTGCATCTTGTGCGCGTCACAGTGGTGGAGTTGAGTTATCTGGTGGTGTGTGTTTGTTTTTAGTGTACATGTGTTGTTTGTTGAGGGAGAAAAAGGTGCCATTTAGGCACAGAGAGGAAAGTTTACAGTAGTTCTTTAATAATTTAACTTCTGATGCATGTTAATAGGTACTTTAATAATACAAATAAAAAATTCTGTTGTATTGACAGATAAATGTCTATACAACAATAGTGAATGTCAGCAGCAGTAACATCACAGTTTTTGACACTGGCTGAAAAGTGTGTGTGCTTGTCTGTCTGTGTTTGTGTGTATGCGTGCACACGTTATGTCTGTCTGTGTTTGTGTGTGTGCGTGCACACGTTATGTCTGTCTGTGTTTGTGTATCTGTGTTTGTATGTCTATCTGTCTGTGTGTTTGTCTGTGTGCTTGTTCGTGTTCGTCTATGAGTGTGCCCGTCTCTCACTCTCCTTGTGCTATTTTAAAGGGGGACAAAAGGCAAAGATATCAACACCATCAAGTCCCTCCGGGTTCTCCGGGTCCTGCGACCTCTGAAGACCATCAAACGGCTCCCCAAACTCAAGGTATGATCTGGTCTCACCCCCTCCAGCTTACCTTGGGAGATTTCAAATACCAAGGACCAGCAATGTGCCTTGTAGTCAAAAGTCCCAGGTCAGGATCCCTGCACCTTCTGTTTGATGACTTTGACTCTCCACTGTAGCACAAATACTGGCTGGCAGTATCAATGCCCTAAAAAGACTAAAGATTTAGCAATTCATTGTTTGTTATCCACAGTCAAAAGAACAACCAGATGTTCTCAGTGGACATGGCCTGGCATACTGTGTTATGGTATTTATGTAGCTAATGTTCTTATTCCATGCAACATGCTCAGTGTAGCATGCAATCTCCTTGAAAGGGGATTCATACAGTTCAGTAAAGAATTATGTAAGTCATATAAAATAATATTCTTTTTTTTTAGTTTTATGTGTTTATTTGTGGATGGAATATGATGATGGAATAGTTTAGGCCACTAATCATTGGTTAACCCTGATAGTGACTGAGACTTCAGGATAAGTCCTGCTGTCATGGGTGTTTAAGGTTTGGTTTCCCCAAATATAATAATAAAATAAGTAGTATTGCCTGGCATGACTCGGTTCATCCATGTGTTATGTGACGACGTCACACCACTGCGTGTTCGATTGCGTGTCCCCATGAAGGCCTCGCCCATGTGTGTCTGACATGACCGTGCAGATGTGTGCTTGCAGGCTGTGTTTGACTGCGTGGTCAACTCTCTGAAGAACGTGCTCAACATCCTCATCGTCTACATACTCTTCATGTTCATCTTCGCCGTCATTGCCGTGCAGCTGTTCAAGGGCAAGTTCTTCTACTGCACCGATGAGTCCAAGAGTCTGGAAAAGGACTGCAGGTGTGTCCGACCCCTTGCCGGTGCTAGGCAGGTTAAATGTCCTGGCTGCACGTATTTATGTCTGAAAAACAAATATGCACACTGTGTGACTGCAACAGGGCTGATTTACTGTCCTGACAGTGCAGGTTTTTGACCTGTCTGTGTAAAATTACTTCCCAGACAGTATGGGTTTAATGCCAGATTTACAGATCTGTGATCCCAGCTACTTGAACCCATTGACAAATGGGTTTCTTATCCCCGTGGTTGATTCTTACTCGGGTACCCAGCAAGGTCTGCATGGAAAATCACTTCTGTCATTTGTGAAACCTCTTTAAAAAGGATGACTCTGTGGCCTGACTGCACTGTGATTTATCAAGACATCCAACCCCAGGACCATTAGTGTGACCAGGGGTCGTACCTCTCTGCCTTAACCTCTCTTCCCACCTCCTGGGCCTGAAGGGGGGAATTTTTGGACTATGACAAGGACGAGGTGTCGGCCAGGCCACGGGAGTGGAAGAAGTACGATTTCCACTATGACAACGTGCTGTGGGCGTTCCTCACCCTCTTCACCGTCTCCACTGGCGAAGGCTGGCCCATGTGAGTAGAGACATTCCAGCTGTTCAGGCAGTCATGGGTGTTGAGGGTAGAGTGGCTAAAAATACGCTAATTAATACAGACAGGCTGACAGAACTGACTCAGGAGTGAGAAAAAGTCTCTTTTTGTCTCCTTTGTTCACTTAACGTCATTACAGAATATTGAAAAGCTGCATCCTGGGAACTAGAAAATAAAAATTCCATTTACCGCAAACATCACCGTTGTAGATTGAGACTTTGCTAATCTATCCTTACCATACATCCTCAACACTAACAATATTGCCCAGCCTCTGGACCTGAGATGAATGTTTGGGGAACCCTTAAGCGTATTTATGCACCTTCCCCTGATCCTACTGTACAAGTCAGGTAGTGTGCATTCCGTGTCAGTGGCTTCTTTGGAACGGCTATCTTGAGGGGCCAGGCCGTGTACTCAAGCAGTCGCTGACGAGAACTACTTGGTTTTTCGAATCGCCACAAGCAAACTGTAATGGCTGGAAGTACTGCTTGTTGGCTGTGGGGAAACCATTCGTATGCAAAGCAACAAATGGGGCACTTAATTATCAAGTAGACGTACCGTACCGGTCTGGACCTCTTTGCTTATGTAACTCGATTAAACCTAATTGAGTGCCCTTGTGGAAATGCCAACGTAAAAGCCAACTCAGCAAAGTAAACCTGCTTCATTAGTGTTCTTTGGGCCATTGTCTGAGGAGTGCCATGTCGCAGACAGTTAGGGTGACATCATATGAATCAGTAGAACTGTTTGTAGTGTCTGTTCACACATACAATGACGCAGAAACATTAAACACATGGTTCCTATGTAGTGTAATTTTCTGCTGGGTCACTGTTGAGTTGAATGCAAATCTCCGTTCCACTCAGTGAGTCTAGCCAGATTCTGTTGAAGCTATGAGACTTGTTATTGACATTAGTCATTAATTTCCTGCTATTGTATTTTTTTTCTGGTATATATTTCTCAGCATCCATGTCACAAGGATTTTGTTTTGTTTTTTTTTACCCTCCTTTGGCTCTGCAACCTCCCAGGGTGCTGAAGCATTCAGTTGATGCCACCTACGAGGACCAAGGCCCAAGTCCAAGCTTCCGCATGGAGACGTCCATCTTCTATGTGGTCTATTTTGTGGTCTTCCCCTTCTTCTTTGTCAACATCTTCGTGGCCCTGATCATCATCACTTTCCAGGAGCAGGGAGACAAGGCCATGTCGGAGTGTAGCTTGGAGAAGAACGAGGTATGGTTGCCCTGTTACTTCCTGTCAGCTCGCCAGTGTGTTTGCGGCCAGCTGTTCCTTGGCCGTGCAAATCACTGGATTTGATCACGCTGGTTTCTGGGCTCCTGCAGAGGGCCTGCATCGACTTCGCCATCAACGCCAGACCCCTCACACGCTACATGCCTCAGAACAAGCAGTCCTTCCAGTATAAGATGTGGAAGTTTGTGGTATCGACACCCTTCGAGTACTCCATCATGGCCATGATCGCCCTCAACACGGTGGTGCTCATGATGAAGGTTGGTGCTGGAGATCGCTTGAGTTTTTGGGTAATGAGAAGTAATTATGAAACGTTCAGTTAGGTCTGGGGGGCAGCATACTCTAAACTGAGGATGTGAGCACAAAGCTGAAAATCCAGTATCACAGCCCCCCGTCAAGATGTTAATTGCTGGTAATGTAAACTCCAGGAGTGGGTGGCTCATACCTGCAGCTCTGACTTCTTACCCTGGATTCTTTCCTAACAACCTCCCCCCCCCCCAGTTCTATAAAGCTCCTGATGAGTACGAGAACATGCTGAGGTTCCTGAACATGATCTTCACAGCCCTCTTCTCACTGGAGTGCATTTTTAAGATCATCGCCTTTGGACCTCTTGTAAGTGTGCCATTCCCAGTTAGCCTGTCCTGGGGCGCCATCTCATAGGATCTCCGTTTCTGCTCACGGGTGATAATCGGGAGGCTTCCCAGAGGGATCATTTGTAGGTCATTCCACAGGCAGAAATCAGGGAGGTAGGGCTAGCTATGATAAGAGCATCTTTGTCCTCTAGCCCTTGCTTTTGCCACGGTGACACTCTCCCTTATAGGCTATGGAGGAGGCAGTGATTGTTTGAGCCCAGACGGCAAACCAGACGGGTCGATTGAGCCCATAAGTATTTTTCAAAAGCCAACCTTTTTTACATAATGGACTTATTAAATATTGGCTAAAATTGCATTTTCGGAACTGTAATGGTCTTCACTTCAGCGCCTGATATATTTGTATTATCATTACCTGTTGATTTAACAGATGTAACATCCCGTATAGTTGGGCATTTATGGAATCAGTAAATCAGAGTTTTAGTGCTTTCCTCAAAGATCAAATGTTTTTGTGACCTAACTCCATGGTTTATATGACTAGTGGACTATTTGTTTAAATATTCATCCATTGAAATTATCCAGTGATCCAGATCATGTCAAGAAGTTATGAAAGCTGTTAAAATGTGTGTTTCCTTCTGTCTCTTTCAGAATTACATGAAGGATTCCTGGAACGTGTTTGACTTTGTGACCGTGCTGGGAAGCATTACAGATATTTTGGTCACAGAGATCAGGATGATAAGCAAAGTAAGCAAGTCGGGGTGTGGCGAGTCAATGGCGGGGGATCACTGAAGGAGAACCTTTGTTGGGGGAAGAGATGGGGAGTGTCTGGGGGGCCCGGTGCCTGGGTGAGATGAGGATGAGGATGAGGAAGATGGGGAAGGGTGCACAGCATGAGGGGTTAGTGATAGATATGGGTTTATGTAAATATAATGAAAAAATCTAAACAACATGTAGCTGTAAAAGAAACACTAAAAACATAGGAATGGAGGATATCAAAAGACTTGCTAGAGTAACTAAAGCTAGACAGACAGCCTCTTCTGACAGCTTTCCATAGTTGGCTGTCCTTTTGGATTTCTTGTGGCACTAGAAAGATGTTCAATTGATCTGTTTGAGTATTGTCTTGTTTGTGGGGGGGGGGGCAGCCATTTCATGTCCATAAATCATCAAGAATTTGTACTGTGGTCTTGAGAGGTGGGTCAGTTTTTATATATGTAGGTTATTTTGTAGAATATCCACTTGATGGTTAACCTCCTCACCTTGACCTGAATGTTTTAATTTGTCCCCGTGCCTCCCCCCTTTGCGTCTGCGTTTATCTCTGTCTGCTTGTATGTTTGGTGTCATACTGGTAGACTGCTTCCCTGCTCTGCTCAGGACTGTCTTAGCTGCCCGTCACTGCTATTCTTGTCTGCTTTTCTCGTCTGCTCTCTCTCGCTCTCCTCCTCCTTCCTCAATGTCAACGCTCAATCTTGGCTGGGGCCTGTCCACCCCATGACCCAACGGCCGCTGTAGACTACAGTAAGTCACCCTTCTCCTCCACTCTTCTCTATCAGTCCTGCTGCCAGCCACTTCTGCGGCTGTACGTTTGGTTTGCGCCGCATAAAGCGGCGCGATTAGAGAAAGCTCTGAAGCTTCCCCCCCTCGGCTCTCATTGCCGAAAGGCCTTCACCCAGCATATATGCAAGAAGGACTTATGACTTAAGGAAGCTGAGCGAAGGTGAGCCATGCATTGCCATCCCTGCAGGACAAGCAGATTAACCTGAGCGTCCTAAGACTGTTCCGAGCCGCCCGGCTCATCAAGCTGCTCCGCCAGGGCTACACCATTCGCATCCTCCTCTGGACCTTCGTGCAGTCCTTCAAGGTGGGCTATCTCACTCGCCCTTCCCCACAGCAGGGCCACTCAGCTCAAATCCTCATAACCCTGGCCCAGCCCAACCCAAGTCCAACAGCTCCACCCACCTCCATCCTCTACACCACACGGAGGCTGTGACCCCTCTGATTCAATTGTTTTAATGTTACTTTTAAAATGAACTTGTTGCTTGACAATGGTACTCCAATTTAAAGTAAATAAGGATGTTACATTGTTACTCATTACATAAAGTAATGTATTGGAGCTGCTCCAAGTTACTCATTATAATGTATTGAAGTTGCTCCAAAAACTACATAACGCTCTTTATTTATAAAGTTTTGCTCTCAGCACTCGTTATAACAACCCTGGCAGCCAGGCAAGGGGCTTTCCGTCAGGGCAGATCCATCACACTTAGTATCATCCAGCCTCTTACAGTGGCTATTGCTTACTTCACATCTGCCCAGACCAGCCGATTAGCAGCTGCCCTTCCACAGACCACAGAACCCTTAACATTGGGAGGTTCAGCTGTTGAGGTTCATACACACACAAACATGAAATTAATTAAATTATGTTTCTGTGGTATCAGTTTCATGGAGAATATTCATGAGGTTAAAGTGTATGGTTAACTATCTTACTTTATTTCTTAGAGCACCTTCTAGTGGATTGGAGGGTGTAGTGTTTTATTATGAAATTAAACAGCAAGTCATGCAATAATATTGAATTAGTTCATGTTGCACACACCAGCAGTGCCATATCTAGTGATCAATGAATTCCTCAGATTCCACCTGTCTGATCTCTGGTGTGTCCTTTCCCCAGGCCTTGCCCTACGTTTGCCTTCTGATCGCCATGCTGTTTTTCATCTACGCAATCATCGGGATGCAAGTGAGTCTCAACCTCCAGATGGTTGTCGAACTATTGAGGCTCTGAGAGACGCGCATGCTGCCAGTCACTGCCTGGCGTAGCTTGACGGACCCAGTACAGTAACCAATGGGAAGTGATCGCAAGTTCAAGTCCCACCCACTTATGTATTTTGTCTGTGCGTCCAGAATTGTTCGGATTTTTGTTGGTAAGTGGCACTGCTTTTCGGTTGATGTTGTGAAAGGTGAGATCAAATACTGTGTTATTCTGAGCCTGAGGCAGATTTAATCGCCGCCAGGGTGCAAGGAGACACTGAACCTGTGATGATGTTGCTGCTAACTACAGTAGACAGGCTTCCTCTGCGCTCCCCACATGAATGCAGCCTTACCTTAGGGCTGCGGTTTAATCGGCAAACACCTCAGCGTCGTGCTCTCTGTGAGGGAAGATACCATCCTGCAAGAGGGGGTGGTGTTGTGTATAATTGTGGCCTGTAATCGGGTTACAGGTTTTCGGGAACATCGAGCTCGATGAGAGAACCTCCATCAACCACCACAACAACTTCCGCACCTTCTTCCAGGCCCTCATGCTGCTCTTCAGGTGAGAACTGAATTCCCCCCTGGTCCCTGCACCTGCCCCCCCCCTCACACATTTTATTTCACGGACCAGGATGTGTCACAACTGAACCTCTTTGGCTCGTGTGTCTGTGTCAGGAGTGCCACGGGGGAGGCCTGGCACGATATCATGCTTTCGTGTCTCAGTCTTCGGGACTGCGACAGTGCGTCCGGCCTTGAAAAAAAGGAGTGCGGCAGCGACTTCGCTTATTTCTACTTTGTCTCCTTCATCTTCCTTTGCTCCTTCCTGGTGAGTGTGACATGCTTTTAACTCCACCCACAGCCATAACACACACCTCACCATTGCTGTGGCACCTGATGTTTTTATTATTATTATTATTATTATTATTATAATTATCATTACTATTATTATGTTGTTGTTATTATCAAGTCTCCATAGACAATAAAGATAATTATACATGTAAAATAAAATATATGAAATCCATACATTCATCTTCCAACCACTTATTGTAGTTGATATTGTGGGGAAAATAAAAGAAAATTAAGAAATTTGCAAGAGACAAACAATTCTAAGCTCAAACAACGTGTAACTTGGATTTGGGCGTATGCGGATTCTCTCATTCACAGATGCTGAATCTGTTCGTGGCTGTCATCATGGATAACTTTGAATACCTAACCCGGGACTCGTCCATATTGGGGCCGCATCACCTGGACGAATTCATCCGCGTGTGGGCAGAGTACGACCCTGCTGCTTGGTAGGTGTCCCTCCTCTGCAGTTCAGGCAGGTAGAAAACACAGTTATGCGGGGATGGAGGGCGACAGAGTTATAGCAGAGTGGGCGTGCGGAGCGTGGTGCTTTTGTACAGGGACTGACAAATCCCATCTTAATGTCATCGCGCCCGTCGGTTCCTGTTTGACTGATCCCTGAAAATCCCACAGGTGGGTCTGATATATCTAGGGGGGGGCAGCAGCATAGATGATGTCATGGCGGTTCCCCATTGGGGGTGTCAGGAACTGCTACATTTAAATGAAAAAGAGGAAAGGCAGGATCCACAAGATGCCAATGGGGAACTGACTGGAAGCCCATGAGGACAGGGTACTAGATTATCCAGAGTCTCCATAGCAACCTGCCAGCAGAGATCCCTGTCAGAGGTGCCAGTCCAGTAAATCCATGCAGGGAAGGCTTTTCACTGAAGTTCAGAGTCATTAGTATTCCGTTCCAAAACACACCCTCGGTGGAAACAAGGTGAGATAAAGACAATGATTTTATAACCTGAAATATATTGAGCTTATGGAGCATATTAAGGGACAGGAGACCTTAAAGAGAATTTGATTGAAATTTTAAAAGTTTGGGTAATTTTATATTATTTTATTTAAATCTTGTATTTTTACATATCGCAGTTCCAAGCTCAAATACACATTATCAGCAAAAATTCATTCACCATAACCACAATTAAATGTACTGAATTCATGTGAGTTCCTTAAGACCGACGACCAACTACAGTTTCATCAGTAGCAGTAAATCTGTAATTTAATGCAAGCAGTATTGATATTTTTAAACTGTGCTATACAAAACCAGGCCACGAAGCATGATGCAGTTGTGGTTTTGCAACCTAGATTCTACCCACCTGTTTACATTTTAAATTTCAGAATTGTCTTTCATATTTTCATTTCCCATAATTCTTTGAGAAGCTGTTAAGAGACAGCTAAGAAGGGTCTTTGAAATGTTCAAATCTCTGGAGGAAAGAAGTCCATAGAAAGTAATTCTAATCAATCTCAGGAAACTAACTTCTGAAAGTCTACAAAAAGGTTCTGTTTATATTTAATACTCCCTTGGATCCCATTGATAGGGAGGGAGTCTTTCAAAGCAGTGCATTCTGGGTATGAAAGAATGCTGACAGGCTAAGCAGGAAGTGAAGTGACAGGTTTCAGTAATAAAGTGATGAAGATGAAGTGGAGCTTGAACTGTAACCTTGTTAACTTTCTCCCACTTGGTCTGCCTGAAATGAAGAGAAGAATCCACCGTTTATTTGTTAATATGCAGTCCTTTTATTCTCTCCCTCTAATCAGAAAGTCAAATGTGCAGTGATTTCAGAGACCACTATGGCGGATATACATTCGGTTTGTTTGGGATCTTGCAAATTGAGAAGCACTTTGGATCATAGGTTACAAAGGCTGCTAAGAAGAACACTTAATGCCCCACACTTCCCTCACTGGAGCACTGAAGGTGGCCCACACAGTGGTCAAAATCTGCTTTATTAGTCACGGTGTACAGGGGGCAGCATTTTCCCCTGTAACAGTACACCGCCCAGAAAGAAGACATAACAACGTCCCTCCCTAAGCCATCTTCCGAAACTAATAAAAAATACTGAGTCTCGGGCCCAGGCGTGTCCTGTCTGTATTTATGTGTCTTTTTGCAGATGTTGCACATAACAATGTTTTTCAGGTTGCTGATGGGTGTGTCTCCTCTGAAGCAGGAGGCCCGGCCGTGTGTGTGTCCCTGCAGCAGTGCTCTAACGCAGTGTGCTCTGTTCGCAGCGGGCGCCTTCGCTACATGGATATGTACAGTTTGTTGCGTGTCATTTCCCCCCCGCTTGGCTTAGGGAAGAAGTGCCCAAACAGGGTGGCTTACAAGGTTTGCGAAACACTTTGTCCATTTAGAGGCGCCACAAAGA